TGGAGCCTCAATTGTGGGGTTCCACAGGGGTTGACTATTTCCCCAATGCTGTTTAACATCTATATGAGGCCGCTGGGTGGGGTCATCAGGGGGTGTGGAGCATCGTGTCATCAATATGCTGATGACACCCAGTTCTACGTCTCCTTTTCACCAACTGCAGGTGATGCTGTCCTGTCCCTTCAGCGCTGCCTGGAGGCCGTACTGCAGTGGATGCGGGAGAACGGGCTGAGGCTGAACCCAGACAAGACGGAAGTTCTGAGGGTGGGCGGCCCTGTGGATGGTGGCTTTGGCGGCCCCCTCATGTTTGGGGGGGTGGCCCTGGCCGCGAAGAGTGGGGTCCGCAGCCTGGGGGTACACCTGGACCCGACGCTCACCATGGAATCGCAGGTGGCGTCAATAGTCCGCACCGCCTTATTCCACCTTTGGTGGATTGCCCGGCTGCGACCTTACCTCGACACGGGGGCGCTCACTACCTTAGTACATGCGCTCGTAATCTCTAGATTAGATAACTAACGCGGTCTACGTGGGGCTTCCCTTGAAGCTGATGCGGAAACTTCAGGTGGTGCAGAATGCAGCAGCCAGACTCCTTACTGGAGTGAGAAAACACCATCATATTTCTCCTATTCTGGCCATGCTGCACTGGCTGCCCATCCGTTTCCGCATTGACTTCAAAGTGTTAATGCTTACATACAAGGCCCTAAATGGTTTAGGACCTTGATACTTGGCGGAACACCTGCTCCCACCTAGTTCTACTCGGATCACCCGCATGAGCTAGGAGGTGAGGCTGAGGAGCCTAATGCTGAGGGAGGCCCGGAAGGAAAGTACACAAAACCGGGCCTTCTCAGCGGTGGCTCCTCGCCTCTGGAATAACCTTCTCCAGCGATTCGTGCGGCCCCTCCGCTGGGCACCTTTAAGAGCCAACTAAAGACATAGTTGTATGTTCAGGCCTTCCCTCCTGTCAATACTTAATTTCTTCTTTCTCCTTCTATTTATTTTTTGTTTTATTATTGCATGTCTCATTGTCTGTTTGTTAAATTTCTATGGTCTATTGTATATTTTTATTGGAAGCCACCCAGAGTGGTCGACCAGACCAGATGGGCGGGATATAAATCAAATCAATCAAATCAATCAAATCAATCAAATCAATCAATCAATCAATCAATCAATCATTAGCTAAGTTGGGTGCCAGTTAAGTTGCATTCAGTTCTTCTTTGTGATCCACATCTGCGTGGAGCCTCATCAGAAAGCTCTAGAGCTTCTGCAGTAGCAAAAAACATTAGAATAAGGCCCCTCCCCCCTCGTATAAGTACCTTGGCACAAAGGCTCCCCTTCCAGTTTCTTTCACCTGTTGCATTGAGAGCCTCATAGTTCTGCTTCTTTGAGTAAAAGAGAGAGTTTATTCTTGATTCCTTCCTGTTATCAATCTTTTTTCCTTTAAACTTTTAGATCAAATTCATTATCATCAGAAATATTTCCTTTCTACCTCATTCGGCCTCCGGTCACAGTACCCATCCCCAATCTTTACTTTTTCTCCTCAGATTATTTTCTCCTATTCATAGCCTTTTTGGGCCCGTTTAAACTCTGTGTGGTCTGTGATAACAAAACACAGTGGAGCCCCTCTTGACGACGATAATGCATTCCAGCAAAATCGCTGTTAAGTGAAATCGTTGTCAAGCAAAAAAATAAATAAATCCTCATTGGAATGCAGTGAAAACCGGTCAATGCATTCCAATGAGGGAAATACCTCATCGTCCAGCGAAGATTGCCCATACAGAACTGCTGATCAGCTGTTAAAAATCGCTGTTAAGTGAAGCTTCCATCCGGAAAGCAGCCATTTTGAGGAGGGAGGGAAGCCAATTTGCGGAGCTGGAAAGCAGCCATTTTGAGAAGGGAGGGAAGCCATTTTGCGGAACCAGAAAAAACAGGCTCCTAATCAACGTAAAGCAGATTTCTCCCATTGGAACCATTGTTTTGCAATTTTAAAAGACTCCCAGAAACTGGCGATTTTGC